AGCTCAGGCTCCATGTGGGTTTCCGGGTAAGGGGAGCAGGGGCCGCCTCTTGCCATGAACCTGGTTGCCTGCTCTTTGATCACTTCCGAGGAAGAGGATTCAGGCAGTCCTGATGAGACTTGATAAGCTAGGGTCAGATGGCAGAGGAGGAGACGTCCACTTTTCAGTGGACTAGAAGGGGATGGGGGGAGAGAAGGTGGGAGGATAGGACCGGGAGGAGATGAGGGAGGAGGCTACAATCGGGATATAAAAATGAATAAATTGTAAAAAAGAAAAGTTTTTTAAAATAATAAAAAGCTCTTTAGCTTACTTTCTTTTATGGAAATAAAATTTATCTCTCTGTGGAATTTTCTTTGTTATTGAAACTCACTCAGCCACACTGAAGCTGGTGCAAAGTACAAACACAGCTTTTTGAGAAACAGGAAGGGAGAACACCCTCTACCTGCAATCATACACTTTCAAAACGTTAAATTATTGAAAACTCAGAGCTACAATTGTATCTGGTTAGATCATATTGATCGTTCACATTTCTATTGAACTTCATTAGATTTAGATTGTGATCCTCTGACAAATTTACTCATTCAGACAAGAAATCAAAACCAAGTTCAAAACTGTAGAGCAAAACGTGGAACATTAAAGTAACCATCATTTTATTCTTAACCATTGTGCAAGGCTATTGTTCTGAAGAGTATATTTTAGGAAAAACTAGATTGAGCACTTTCTTTTTCCTGAGCTGCTTTCACATGCAGGGCTTGGCTTACTTGAAGGACAGTATGATAATATATGTTTTATCATCTGAATATGAAGTTTCCTCATTAAAAAAACAGTTTTCTTGAGATTAAAGGAATAAGCCCCCAAACTCCAAATGCCTCAGGACATCTGCAACATAAGTAGCAACTTCAGAGCAGCTGAAGCAGCAGATCTTCTTTTGGTTGATCTTTAACCACATAAGACATGCAGTAGATTAAATTTTGATCAAAATAAGAGGTGATTGGATCTAGAGTATTCCCAGGAAAGCAGTGCTAGTGGGAGGACTCTTGAGAGGTGGAGCGGAGAGCAAAAGCAGCATGGAGAACTGATACGCACACAAGAGTCCTGGCAGGGAACAATGCTGACATCAAAGGGGAGTCAAAAGAGTTAAATAAAGAGAATAGTAAGGTGTAGGTAAGGGACATTAGTCAGTTTTATTGTCACTATGGGATGATGATAACCTAAGGAAGGAAAGATTTACTTTGTTCTTTGTTTCAGTCCATCATGGCAAGGAGGAACTGATGGAAGAATTCACAACAGCGGGGCAGTGATAGTAAAGACAAGATTAATTTTCAAGGACATAACCTTCTGCAACCTACTTCCTCTAAAACATAATTTATCATTTTCCAATATTCTGGCCAATTTTTTAACCTATCAAGTGGAAGAATCGATTCATGAGATCAGAGCACTTATGATACAACTTGTCGATAGAAATATTGTTACAAGGACACCTAGAGGTGTGCTACCGCAATCTTCAAAGCACTGTTCGATCCAGTCAAATGGACCAGACTAATCATCACACAGAAAAGGGTAAGAGAGAGTAAAAGGCTTCTGAGTTAGCAAACGTACACGCCAACCCTGGGCTTGAAAGTATCAGAGAAATGTCAGTGAAGAAAGCCCTGTGAGCTTCCTAGCAGCCTGGCAGGAGGTATGGGTATGAGTAACATGCCATGCTATGACCAGGCAAAAAGAGAACTGCTTTCCTCTGCTTTCAGCCTTTCGAACTCATAGTCAGAGAATGGCAGTCATGAGGTTGTAGCCCTTAGAATTCAGCCTACAATGTCTCTGAGAGACAAGGAGGAAAAGACAATGAGTCTAGCGAGATAAAAATGTGAGGCGGTTTCAGTGAGAAAGTTAGTATTAAATAACTGTTATGTGTCCTGTCAGATATGGACTTCATAGTGTTATAAACAGAACTATCTTCAAGAGCACCACAGAGTAAAGAACAGTAATTCACCTAGAGATTTTCAGCTAAATTCATCGGGTAAATTTTTATGGACTCTCAAATAACACCCGAGCTGCCTTAAATAATGAACACTGTTCTGCATAGAAGAACAAGAAAAACTAAGGATAGAACCCCATGACTCTAAAGATGATAAAAGGGAGCTCTAAGGAAAATATACAATGGGTTTCCTGGGTTTTAAATATGAGTCATGAAAACAAAAAGCATCAGAGAGACATGAGTGAGAAAACAGTATCTGGATAGCAGGCAGTTAAATGTGTGGAATCAATAAAAGTATATGAGAATAACTAATATTATTATGACAGTAGTTTTCTAAAGTCCAAAATTATGTCAAAATAGAAGTTTGAACATAACATGTAAACTACTTAGGATACCATCTAGTAGCTATGAAATGCTTAGCATAGGACATTGATGCTGTTAGCCTAATCTCAAGTTCTAAAGGGCACTGTAAAACAAAACAACAACAACGAAAAACTAAGCATAAATTGTTTCTCATCTTCACAGACAGAAAATTCTTAGTAAAGTTTTAGCAACTACAATCATGAAACATGTTAAAAAGATAATCATGACCAAATGAGGATTATTCCTGAAATGCAAAGAAAATTAATATTTCAAAACCAATCACTGTCGTTTGTTAGATGAACTAAAAACATGTAATCTCCTTTATGGTATTACACTAGTCAGTAGGTAAAGGCTCTAGTTAGGTATCAACTTCACTTCTCCATATTCAATTAGCTATGTAAGTGTTGTCTTCAGCCCTAGGGCTTCACCATCTCCCCATTTAATCCTCCCATTCTGTCTTTCCACTCTCTCCACAACTATGTATTCTATTTTCTTTTTCTTGGAATAATCATCTCCTCCTCCACAGTCCCTTACTCTATGCCTAACTTCTGTGTTTATACAGGTTGTAGCATGCCCACGGAAAAGCTGGAAAGCTAACAACCACATATAAGTGAATACATATCACATTTATCCTTTGGGGTCTGAGTGACTTCACTCAGGATGGTTTTTTTTTTTTGGCTCCACCCATTTACCTATAAATTTCATAATTTAAACAGCTGAATACTATCCCATTACTTAAAAATGTGGAGGTTGTATCTTTAAAGGCTAAATTTTATAGTGTATCTCAATAAATCTCACCTTAAAAATACAGAGATAGAAGTGAGGAATTAGGTTAGCAGCAGTATACTTGCTTATCAAGCACAAAACAGGGAGCTCATTGTCTAGCACTGAAGAAAAAAAGAGAAAAACTGAGGAAAGGAAGGAAAGGGAGAAGAAGAGGAAAGGGGAAGGGAAAGGTGGGAAGAAAGGAGGAAAGGAAAATATACATTCATTTATCAACATGAATTCTCAGACTATTTTTGTCTTTTCATATTTCAGATTCTTTCCTAAGAGTTCTTGTTGATAAATGAAGGAACAATTGAAAAGGAAAATGCTATTTTTTTTAGAATAGAATGTTAGCTAATAGTTGTAGAAGAAATGATGGAGTTAAAGAGTTCACCGTTTTAAAACTATACACTAATAACTGATGCGAAGGAGTGCCTTCAGTAGACATTAAAGTAGTAAATGAAGAATGACGGGTGAACAAAGAAATACTTAATCTCCAAATCTCTTCTTCAAATTATGTATAATGTTGAAAGGAAAATCTGCTAGCTTCAGGGTAGAGAAAATGGGTGGATGTAACCGTAACTAAGAATCCAATGTCACCAATCTAATCATAACCAAGAATCAGTACCACAAATGATGGAATAAACCAGAATCATCTATCTCCTAAAACAAGGCATGGAGAAGTACTTATTCTGGTATTTTTGTGAAAATTGCAATCAATCAAATGTCAGAGCTTTCTAGATGACAAACCACAGTATAAGTGAAAAAAAATAAATAAAAAGAAAAACAACGTTCAAAGCTTATGGAATGCACCTAAAAACAATGCTTCGTGGAAAATTCAATAACTGTATATGTTGGTACCTTTCTATCGCTCCAACCCTCTAGAGAGACTGAAACAGAAGGATTACATCATCCCAGGATGTACTAGACAGTGTAGCAAGGTTCTACTTCTAGAAAAGTAAGTTTTAAATTGCATAGTATAAAATACTTACAAAACAAAGGAAGAAAAGTCAAAATCTTGTCTTCTATGTGATAAGCAATAAAAAAGTAAAACTCACGGGGCTGAGGAGATGACTCAGTGGTTAAAAGCACGAGCTACTCTTTCAGAGGACCAAGTTTTATCCCGAGCACCTGTAGCAGTGGCTCACCACCATCTATAATTCCAGTCCTAGGGGATCCAATGCTCTCTTGTGGCCCCCACGAGCATCAAGCAGGCACATGGCACAAATACCTACATGCAGGCAAAACAATCATGCAAATAAAATAAAATGCAACTAAAAAAAGAAATAAAACTTGAAAATAAGAGTAAACAATAAAAGCCAGAAAAGAAAAAAGAGGAAAGTCAATGAAGTGAAAAGCTCTACTTGCTTTGTAATGATTAACAAAACCGATAGAAATTAAATACATGGGGAATAAATTTTGACAAGGAAACATGATCAGCTTGATGCATACAATGCTAATACTAAGACAAAATAAAGGTCAAAAAAGAAAACAGGGGAAAATGAATGAAGAATAAAAAGAGGAATGAAAAGCTGTGCTTTCTTTGTAATGATCAACAAAACTGATAGATATTAAATACATGTTTTACAGAAAATAAATATTGATTAAAATATGGTCAACTGGATACATATAATGATAATACTTAGACAAATGAAATTGTGAAAATTATGCAAATTACCAAACCTGAATTAGAAGAGAAAATCTTACTAGATATATATAAACTATGAAAATTAACTTAAAATTGTAAATGAGGAAGTACGAAGTTTCTGGGGAAATACTATAGTATTCTATGTTATCTAAATCTGCTACAACCAATATCTAGTATTGAATTATTTGTGTGATAACAGACCTGTTGTTTTTAGTTCAACAACATCGGTAGTTCTTGTTCAGCTTAACCAACCTGTGAGGCACGTCAGTCTTCACCCACGGCATTTATGCAATTTGAAGAAAGAGTGCAAGAAACAGCTACTCACAGCAGCAGCACAGGTGTGATCTCATTCTGCCACCCCACACCCAACTTGAGAAATGAGGCTGAGAAATGTCCCAAATATCTCAACTCGGGAAACCGTTAGCTCTGGGTTCCCTGACATGCCCATTCTTTATCAGTCATGTGGGAGCATGAGTGTAGACTCAGTCCAGTGGAGTGCAGGCCCAGTTTCACCCCACTAATGGTAGCTATTCGTTCATTAGGAAGTCCTGCCCATGTTCCTTTTAATTCTCTTTCGATATGTATTACCCTGTTAAGTTCCTAAAAACGACTTCCCTTAACACTGCAGACAGGATAGACCATGATGCAATTCTTAGGCGCTTCGGAGGCTAAACCAAAGTCCAAAGGAACAGATAACTCTAGAAGTTTGGACAGACATCACTCAAAGACTAACAACAGGCATACATTTAGGGAATAAGTGATTTTTTTTTCTCATTTAAACTTTTACTTGATTTGAATTTTTGCAATGAGTAGTAATTAACTTTTAATTAAAAACTACTTCCAAAAAACCCCAAATCTTTATAAATAAAATCAGATGTTTATTCAATTTAGGATACAAACAGTTGGTGCAGATGGCAAATGGCTTTTCCGCACTTGCCAATGTTGCAATAACAACACTTCTCTGGCAAACTGGCAAGCCACAATTTTTTAAAAGTACATTGTGGCATGTGTGTGTGTGTGTGTGTGTGTGTGTGTGTGTGTGTGTGTGTGTTTGTATGTGTGTGTAAGAAAGAGAGATTGAGGTGGGTATTAGGGGTGGTTAGGGAAGAGAATCTCACAGGGTAGCTTAGCATGGAGAATTACTTCCTGTGTTCCTTCAGGCATGTCCTTGGCTACATTTAAGTTTTTGACACTTTTTATTTTGCTTAATACTTTTAGGTTAGCATGTGTATCATCATACTTTCTTCCCATCCGTTCCTTACCTCGAGGCAGTTTCCTTCCTCAGCTTAGCCACCCTTTCTGCTTTCTATGCATTCCATTGATCTCTCTGTTTCCTGCCTCCCTTGAAATCCCCTCCTCCTCCCTCATAATTCATCATTAGGGTTACTATTGCTGTGATGAAACACCACGACCAAAGCAACTTGGGAGAAAAAGGTTTATTTGGCTTGCACTTCCATATCACTGCTCATCATTGAAGGAAACTGAGGCAGGAAGTCAAACAGGGCAGTAATCTGGAGGCAAGAACTTGCAGAGACCATGGAGAGGTGCTGCTTACTGGCTTGCTCACCACGGGCTTGCTCAGCCTGCTTTCTTATAGAACCTGGGATCGCTAACCCAAAGGTGGCACTACCTACAATGGGCTGAGCCCTCCCCCATTAACCACTAGTTAAGAAAATTCCTGACAGTCAGATCTTATGGAAGCGTTTTCTCAATTAAAGTTCCCTCCTTTCAGATAACTTTAACTTATGTCAAGTTGACATAAAACTAGCCAGTGCGCACACACGTGCGCGTACACACACACACACACACACACACCACCTATAACCTTAAATCTAGGTTTTACATATAAAATATTCAGCATTGGTTTTTCTCCATCTGTTTATATCACTTGATATGCTTTTCAGTTATATCCATTTTCCTGAAGATTGCATGTATGTACGACGTTTTCTTTATTCACCCATTGATGGATGTCTAGGCTGGTTCCATTTCCTGCTGTTGTGAATAACTGAAGCTATATTTCTCTTGGTAATAGCCACTTAGAATGAGGTTAGCTAGAACAAGATAATTTGCATATGCATTTTCCTGATCTCTGAAGATGTTGAACATTTTTCCCAAAATTTCTTCTGTTGAGAACTGTGGGTTGTATGAATTGGGTTTGGGGTTTTATTTTTATAACCCTTTATATACCTTTGATGTTAATCCCATGTTTGATGTGGAGTTGACAATGATTCTCCAATCTGTAGGCTGTCCCTTCACTCAGCAGGCTATTTCTTTCTTTTTTGTTTATTTTATTTTATTTTATTTTATTTTATTTTATTTTATTTTATTT